TGCCCTCAAACTCCCTCCTAAAGCCTGCACCCCCTCCCTTTGCACCGCCTCCCACCCCCAAACTCCATCCCAGAGCCTGCACCCCCTGACCCCCTCCTGCACACCCACCCTCTGCCCCAGCCCAGAGCCTGCACCCAGCACCCAAACTCTACCCCAGAACCTGCACCCTGCACCCCTCCTGCACCCTAATCCCCAGCCCAGGACCCGCACCCCAGACCTCCTCCCCCCACCCAAACCCCCTCCCAGAGCCTTAGGCAGGTAGGGGGGGTGGGTTCTGGGCACCACCAAAATTTCTACAACCCTGCCACCCATGCGAGTGGATAAGGGTCGGGGCAGTCAGGGGACAAGAAGCAGGGGGGGTTGGGGTTCTGAGGGGGGCAGTCAGGGGGTGGGAAGTGGGAGGGAGTGGACTATGGTGGGGCTTTGCGCCCCGCCCCCCAGTGTCCTCTTATTTGATTGTGGAAATATGGTAACCCTAACATAATCTGAACATCCAGCCAAACTGTCTTAAAGACCTAGCTAGAGATCGATCTGGGTCAGGCCAGATCTGCCAGGAGGGTACATTCCTTTAAGATTTTCCTTGATCATCATGATGATGATGATGATGATGGTTGATTGATTGATTGATTGATTGATAATAACTTTAAGCATATGCTTAGTTCCCACTGAAGTCAATAGGACTTACGCACATACTTAACTGCATTGCTGAACTGAGTCCTGGTATTGTCCTCTATCTAATCATGTAGGCACTGGCAGTTATCAGTTGTGATCTCCACCCTTGCTGTACTAGTCATGTCTAGATTTCATTTGAACTTGGCCCACCCAACTGTGCCAAGTATTGTTCTCTATTTAGAGATGCAGACAAATTAGGTTGAGAACTATGAGATTTGCTTCACTTATGACCTCATGAGCTTTGCACGGAGTCTCAAACTAGCCTGTCACTGCACATTGCACATATTAAGTGTGCAGTATTTCAATGTTCATGCTCTGGTGCAGCACACAACATCACACTGATTAAACTTTTCCTTACTGGGGTGAAGTCTTTTAACTCACACCGTCAGCTCCAGGAATCAAATCTGACCAAGTGTCAGGAAACCCTCAGATGTCTGTAGGCCAGGCATGAAGGCAGCTCCCCTTCTCCATTTCAATTAGTACAGGGGTTCTCAAACTGAGGGTTGGGATCCCTGAGGGGGTCACAAGGTTATTACCTGGGAGGTCGCGAGCTGCCAGCCTCCACCCTAAACCCCGCTTTGCCTCCAGCATTTATAATGGTGTTAAGTATATAAAAAAGTGTTTTTAATTTATTAGAGGGGGGGGGGGTCACACTCAGAGGCTTGCTATGTGAAAGGAGTCACCAGTACAAAAGTTTGAGAACCACTGGATTAGCAGGAATGGCTTAGCCTCCTGCTCTGTCCTGGGAGGAGGAAGGGAGTGTGACTCTAATCCATTTGGAGGGGAGGCAAGTGGGGCAGAGAGGTGATTTCTGTACATGTGACCCTAAGAAACTGCCCCATTTAGTGCTGATCCCCAGAGGGACCTTGTCCAGGCAGCCATGGAGGGGATTATCAAACCGGCCCTAATGAGGGACAGGGGGAGGCAGGAGCAGGAAGGGAAGAAAGGGGGCATTGAAATTTGCTTGCCTCTCTCAATTCATTAGGAAGGCTTAAGGGATCCTTGTCAGAAAGTAGGCTCCATTTGTTGTTCCAAAACACCTCAGGTTTAGTGGGTAGATGTTTGCGATTTAGTGGGGATTACTGCCGTGTATCTGGTATTACATAAGGCCTAACTGAAAGCTCAGCACAGCTCCTTGCTACACTCTTGAGTGGAGGAGGAAGCTTTAAAGTGAACAGTGCTTGGCAATCTCTGTGCTGATCTTCTCCTGCCCTGCACCATCCAAAGCTAAAGAATCATGGTGCAAGGGTCTTGTTTCTACAGCACCTAGCACAATGGGGCCCTGGTCCATTCCTGGGGCCCCTGGGCGCTATTGCTATACAAATATTGTGCGTGGGATGGGCAAGAGCATCCTTATTAAGGCATGATCCTTGCATTAGCCCTCAATCCTTGCATCACCTATGTGTGATCCCATCACCTATTTGTGATCCTTGTATTTTTGCTGCTGTGGACGAGGGACAGAGAGTGTGGGAATGACTGGAAGTGTTGCTGGCAAGGGGAGCAGGAATGGTACCATTTCTAATCCTTCTCAAACTGGAACAGGCATGTGATGTCAAACTAAACTTAGTTGTTGTCCCTCATTGGAAGAAGACTGCCTACCAGGCCTGAAAATCTATAAGGTGTGTGTATATATATATATTACCTTTTAGAAGAAGAAACAGGATCTAGTGATCAAGTTACTGGACTAAGAATGGGAAAAAAAGAACTAGGTTCTAATCCTAGCTCGTGTGACTCATTTCCCCTTGCTGTGCCTCAGTTTCTCCATCTATGCAACAGGTATAATACTACTTAGGAACCACAGGGGTCTTGTAACATTAATTATTGTTGATAGTGCACTTTGAGTTAGATGGCACCAGAGAAAAGCAAAAGGTCATTAGAACCAAATTTACCTCTGTCCCAAACCAAACTTGGTGTTCCTCTTTCTTTATTGGGGAAAAATGGTTAAATTATTGTAATAAATTATTTTTAGGAATTTTTTGTTCAACCCTGATACCAACACACTATAGAAACCTGCCAGAAGATAAACCCTATTGCACCCCAACTGCTCTTCATGATAGAATATCAGGGTTGGAAGGGACCTCAGGAGGTCATCTACTCCAACCGCCTGCTCAAAGCAGGACCAATCCCCAGGCAGTTTTTTGCCCCAGATCCCTAAATGGCCCCCTTAAGGATTGAACTCACAACCCTGGGTTTAGCAAGGCAATGCTCAAACCACTGAGCTATCTCTCCCACTGTAGCATATACCTTTGGCAAGCTTTCATCTCAGAGGGCTCTGCTGTTTTATTAAATCTATTTTAGTATTGGCATGGCAAATCTATTCCTGTCATTGGTAACTCAATGACCCTGCTGTGTTGAAATGTTAGGGGGGAAATGTACAGCATGGTCATGGTCAGAAAACTGTTCACCCTGAGAGCTGCTTGAATTACTTGTAAACAATTTATCCAGCACATTTTCCCCTCAGTTATCAAATATAAATTATTCACAAATCACTGTTTTTATTATTCCAGTAGATTTATTTTACTGTGCAGATATGCACCATGTGCTTCTTAGACTTCTATCTTCTGGCTTTGCTGTCAGTCCAGCAGAGCCAGTTCTGATATGGGAAAGTGAGCTGGATTCCATCCTCCATTAACATGCCAACACATTCTGAGTCTAACAACTGAGATCCTCATGAGATGGCCAGTAAGCAAGTCAAGGCAGGATTGAGGCCTGTGTCTTTTATTCACCAGCAACCTAGGCTAGATCTGAATCGGTGGCCTAAGGGTGAAAAGCTCAATGGCCCAGTTGGCTCTCGTGTGGAATTTTAAATGGCAGCAGAACTTCTCTGCTGTTGTGCTGAACCAGACGTTTTAAAGGGTTTATAATCAGGACTTGTTTGTTCTTTGTAACTTCATGATGGCTAGATCTGTTGTGGCCTTTTTAGATGTGGACAGTATATGTTGATCTGGCATGAAACTCCTCTTTCACTTCGCTCTGTTAGGGAAGACCTGCGAGAACTGGAAAAGTCCAACAGGAAGTGTTTTGGTGCCTCAGCAGGTAGCACTCTCCCTTTCATCAGCATGGAACAAGTCCTTCAGCCTGAGGTTAGAGGGTGCTGGACTGAGTTAAAGTATCTCAGGGCTGGCTACATTACAAAGTTATGTTGGTTTCACTACATTGTTCAGTGATGTGGAAAATGGCATGCCCTGTGCAGTGTAGTGAGCTAACCTAAGTGCCGTTGTAGACACCACCAGTTTGACAGAATAATTCTTCCATTCATCTAGCTACTACCTCTCTGAGCAGTGGATTTACTAGAGCAACAGAAGAACCCCTTCTGTCTCTGTATTAAGGGTCTACGCTATAACACTACAGCTACAGATTTAAAACAGAACTCTGTGTCTTTTGTGGTTAGTCACATATCCCATGGATTTTGTGGTCATTCAGTATCCCAGAGCTCTCATCGCAAGATTAAGAGTGCTAGCAAATGTCCCTCAGTGGTAATTGCATTCTGGATTATTTAAATCCCCCTTCAGGTTTCATTTGGAAAAATTCTTCACTTCTTCACCTGAAGTGTTGCTATGCACTGTTAAACTGCTGCTGTGCTCCATCTCAGAGGTGGCTGCATTTTGCAGATTGAAGAAATGAACCTTATATACACACCCTGTCAGATTCATTCATTAACTTTAGTGGAGTTATACCAGGCATAAGTTTGGCCTGTAGTCAGTAATACACTTTGGGATACTTTGAGGTGAACAGGCTATATGAATATAAGTCATTAGGTCTCTGACTTGGGCATGAAGGGAAGGGGCGTTCGTTCCTCTGATGTCTTCAGTTCACTGCAAGGCTTTGTGCATGTCGAGGTGGATGTACCCCTGCTGTTACGCTGAGTGGTTGTTTTTTCTTCTTCTTTCTTAGTAAAAGCAGCTCGGATGTTGAGAAGAAATGGGAAGCCCAGGGGGTGACTCATGTGTCCTCTGAGCCTACGCACTCTCCAACCTGGGAGGAGAAGGTGACCATGGAAATTGATGCAGAAGATGCAGGCCATGAAGGTATGGTTTCTGAAGAGAGCTGAACAGTGGGTAGTGGTGAGGGAAAGGTGAATATCAGTGAGAAGGCCTGATTCTCCAGTCACTTACACCTGTGCTAATGCGACCAGCTCAGAACCATCCCACTACACATTTGCTAATGACTTCCCAAAGCAAGGCACTTAGGAATCAGGCCCCTTAAGTGTAGCTATGTATACAATTGTTAACTATCCTTATGTTTCAGGGCATGAGCTGATCATCAGCTAGGGACAGGAAGAAGTTCCACCCATTATATACGGTTGCAAAGTTAAGCTCTCATATAGAACTTTTCATCAATAGATCTCAAAGTACTTTACAAAGGAGGTCAGTCTCTTGATCCCCATTTTACAGATGGGGAAACTGAGGCACAGAGCTGTGACGTGATTTGCCTAAGGGCACCCGGCATGCCAGTGGTAACCATGGAAATAGAACCCATGTCTTCTGAACCCCAATACAGCGCCCTACAAGACAGAAGTTCAATACAGTTTTATATTCTGGTTTTGGAAAGAATCAGGATGGTGTGCTTAAGAACATAAGAATGGCCATACTGGGTCAGACCAATGGTCCATTTAGCCCAGTATCCTGTCTTCCAACAGTGGCCAATGCCAGGTGCTTCAGAGGGAATGAACAGAACAGGACAGTTACTGAGTGATTCCTGTCATCCAGACCCAGCTTCTGACAAGCAGAGTTCTAGGGACACCCAGAGCATAGAGTTGCATCCCTTACCATTTGGACTTATCTTATTATGGCATCCACACTTGTAGTGCAAGTAGCACATTGATAGTAGTGGGTAAAGCCAAATAGGGTTCAGGCATGTTATGCACACTTTCCTCTGAATTCCCACAGTGCACCATAAACTGTGTACTCATTCTCCTACTCCACCCCTGTCTCCCTCACCCAGCCCTGCTAACACTGCTCAATGCTGACTTGCCACAATCTTCTGTTGTAGTTCTGGGTCCTCATTCAGGTCTGGGTCTGACTTTTAAAAATGCTGAACACCCACAACTCCAGTTGAAGTCAATGAGAGCTGTGGAAGTTCCGCACCTCTGAAAATCAGCCCCTGTAAATTGGCCCATGAATAGCTCTGCCAACGCACTCCAGTCCTATTATGAAACAGTGTTCTGGGACTCCCCCATAGCTGTGGAAATCCATTCCTGTGGATCTGCAGCGTACCTGCTAATCCATTCCTGGCTCTGCACACAGCAATGTCAGTGTACCTGAATCCTGACCTGGTATGGTTCCAATCTCAGCACCCACCACAGCTTTGCCAGTCCCCCTCAATTCTGCTCCACAGCATGCCTGATTATTTTTCAATCATTACTAATTAGAAGCTTCCCTGCTGCAGTGATGGTTAAGCCTTGTGGCTTGATTGTTCCAATCACAATGTAGTTAAGTATACAGTCATAATAATGTTAATGGCATTAGAGTTTGTGATTAGATTAAAATCAGATGCTTGGAAAATGAATGCTGAACCCGAGTGGAAATTAGTCATAGCATTACATGTAATTCTATTAATGCTGCTGCTTAAGTGAAATAAAAAACATTTGACGTACTTACTGTACTTAACTGCCTTAGGCTAACAGGAAATGGGGGTGCAAAGAGAGACTAAAATAGCTGCCAGATCCTCCTCTGGTGAAAATCAACATAGTTCTGCTGACTTCAGTGGAGTGACACCAACTGAGGATCTGGCACTCTTTGTGTGTAACTATATCTATATATGCTTGGAGGTGAGATATATAGCATAAAACGATTGCTGTTTGGGTTATTGGGTTGGTTTGATGATGTTTGGTTGATGTCAGGGATAAGCCTTTACTGGCTTTAAAGCCTCTAAATGTGGATATGTGTAGCTCTCCAGAAGCAACCCAAGGAAAAATCATTCTCCCTGGAAACTAAGAAGTCTATTTTTTGTAGGGTTCATTAGACAGTTTAAAATACCTTGTTGCCCCAATGAGGCTGACGTGATTTACCTCAAACCTAGCCTTTGTTTGTTAAGATTAGAGGGTCATATGACCCTATCTTAGTCACTGGCCAGTCAAATTATTAGGGTTTTTTTCTACCAAAACCTATTGCCCCAGCAAGGACAATACTGCTTAAAAATATTGTAGCCCACATGATCCTGTTTCAGACAAGAGGCAGTGCAAGGCCTCAATCCTCTGCTAAGCTCCATAGGAGCAAACACCAGTGTGTGCAGGTGCCCATTGCAGGATTAGGGCACAAGGTCAATATCTTTAAGTGACTCGTCATTTCGGGTGGCTCCGTTTTTGGGATACCTTCAAGGGATCTGCTTTTCAGAAAGCACTAAACATTGGCCCTCAAAATCATGCCCCTTGAAGTGACTCTGGAGTGACAACATGGCTACAGGTTTTGATACAAAACAGTCACTCCTATTTAAAGAGCCACATACACTTGTATACAGTGAGAGAGCAGTACTGCTGAGGTGTGCAGTGAGGGCTTAACTGTGAAAGGTGCAGAGCACTCTGACCTGATCCAGCAAAGCATTTAAACTTGTGCCCAACACTAAGCACATCAGTAGCCCCATTGGCATTAATGGCATTATATATGTGCTTAAATTTAAGCCTGGGCTTTGCTGGTTGAGTGTTCAGCACCTTGCAGGACCAAGCCCCGTCAAGGTATAAGGCAAGAATGCACAGAGTCTCTCGTAGTCCTGATACATTTCTGTCTTGCAGTGCTTCCCAGATGTGTATTATCCTACTTAGAAAGGAGAGGTATTTATAATCCCCTGATTGGATTAATTTTGAATAATTTGTGGGGAGTGTAATTATCCTACTTATCTATCGTTGGTACTTCTGTACCCCCTCATCTTAGTATCTGAGCAACTCCCCATCTTCAATGTTTTTATCCTCCCAATAGCTGAATGTGGCAGGGCTGTGCTGTTATCTCCATTGTACACAGTGGGAATTGAGGCACCAGGGTTCCACAGGGGAGTCTGTGGCAGAGCAGGGAATTCAACCCAGCTCTCAACTCCCAGGCTGTCCCCCTAACCCCTGGGCCGTTCTTCCTCTCATCTTATCCTAGTTTATGTGATGGTGACTTGTTAAGCTCTGGGTTTTCAAATCGTTTTTCAAAATTACTTTTAAATGACTCAGAGCACCACACCCTCTTGGGTGCTGAGGATCTGTTCCCTGCTCTTGAGTTTTGTCTTCCATCCCACTCACAAGTCTCTAGCCTCAGAGATACTGGTGTTGGCAACTGAATTTGCTCCCATTGGAGAAAAAATGGAACCTTTGAACTCATACCTGCAAGGAGCTCCCCGTGGAAGTGCAATAACTTTAGCAACCAAGGATTTCTGTTTAACAAATCTGATTGCGCTCTCTTTGTAGGCTATCCTGAGCCCAGTCCTGCAGATCTTTCTCAAGCAAAACTCCTGGAGCATATCTACACTTGGAGCTAGGGGTGTGATTCCCAGCTGGAGGAGACAGACTGTGCGAGCTCTGATAGTGCTAGTCTCTTAAAATAGAGTGTAGCCACGGCAGCATGAGTGGTGGGATCAGCTAGCCACTTCAAACACATGCTATGTTTGGGAATGTCTATGTACTCAGGGCAGTTAGCCCATCCTGCCACTCCACTCCTTGAGCTGGGATTTGCCCTCCAGCTCCACGTATAGACATAGCTGATAAGAAGTGCTGTTCCAGAGGTGGGTGGGTGGTTGGATAGCTAGTTAAATAAAACACATGAAGATGCACCCTTCCTAAAGCCCTGCCATCACTTTAAAATGATACAGTCAAGTAGCCAGGTCAACCACTCTGCTCTACAAAAAGCAGCTGTCATCAAAGAAGGCAGCTCAAACCAATACCTTCCAGATCCAGCCCCAACCCTCAGGGAGGTGTGTGCACGTGCAGGTAGAGACTCGGTGAGTTGCTGTTTTAGAAAGCTTGATCCAGTAAAGCACACAAATAATTCTAGTGACTTCAGTGAGGCTATTTGCATGCTTCCAGTTCAGCACGTGCTCAAGTGCTTTGTTACGTTGGGGTCAGAGTGTTCAGCACCCTGCAGGATCAAATTGTAATGAACATACACTAGAGTAAATTATTTTGCCATGATTTAAAGTATTTTCTGTTTTCTCGGCCTTCTATTCTCTTTCTTTTCCTCTGTGGCTGGGTTCTTGCCTCTCTTCTACCCAAGATATGAGGTAGTGCTTAATTTGTGCCGCAGCTTGCCAGGCCTGAGCCCCGGCACCTCTAGGCTTGGCAGTTCATAGTCCAGCACCTCTGGGTTTGCTGCATCAGTTATGAATGTAAAATAATTGCTTGAGCCCCAACACCTCTTTCATTACAAAGTAAGCACTGGAGTAGTCACCTCATTTACCATCCTGTTTGCACTCTGAGGGCTCACCAAGGGGCGGAGTGTGATCCGATATCAAAGACAACTAGTGGAACAGATTGGCTTTAATGTGGGACAGAGTGTTTTATCACTTACAACTTAAATGGCAAGTCCTTTCTCTTTCCACAAAGGTCTCTGAGAAAAACAATCTGCATATATATTGAGCTGTCTTTTAAAAGTAACAGCAGAAAAACATATAACTCCAGTCAGAGGATGGAAAGGCAGGGTGAGAGGAGACTCTGTTGCCTCAATTCAGCAATCTATGCCTATTTGGCAAAGCACTTCAGCACGTGCTTAACTTTAGGCATATGCTTAAGGTTAAGTGCTTTGCTGAACTGGGATGGACTTAAGCACGTGCTTCAATGCTTCACTGCACTGGGACCTTGGGGAGAGAAGAGTTAAATTGTCCATCAGTGCAATCAGTAATTAGGCTGGTGGTAGGGAGAGCTAAGTGTAAATGGCAACATAACAAGATGTGGGGTGGTTTTCATTGATTTGCCTTTGACAAAGGAGTCAGGTTTGTGGTTTTCTCCCTCTGGTTCTTCTGGGGGCACCAGAAATTGCTGCGATACCATAGGGTTAAACTGGGGTCACCGAAGGGGTTAAATCAGTGGTTTATCAAGGAAGGTGAAGAGGGATGTGCGAGGGGGGGTTATCCCTTCAGGGGAAGTGGCAGCAGGCTGTTGCTGTGATGATGGGGGTGAGCAGAAAGCAAGACCAAGTTAATGATAGGGGAGGCAAGATTCCATTCTTCGGGTGACAGGTCCAACATGCCAAACAGGCCTCTCCACTCCTTCAAGTGACTTGAGACACAAAGGAGCCCTACCAGGGGAAGACAAAGCTGGGAGTTAATGAGGCATGTTTCTTTCATGGAGACACAAAGCAAGGGCCTCCCCTGCCTCAGAGCTGTCTAATCAGGTCAGTGAGCTCTCACAATGCAGCTGAGCTTGGCCTGACTTGTGCATTAGGGCAGCAAATGGGGTCTGGCTGCAAGTATTGTATTCTCCAAGCCATTATCAAGCTTCATGCTTCCCTAGCGACTGATGGGATTCAGTTTGCATGGCCTCCCCAGAGCAGGGCTTTCAAGGGAAATGGCCTGTAGCCATCCCCGCTCTGGACTGGGAGCCAGCATGGTGTCCATTGTAAACAGGATCTGGACTGGGTAGGGTCTCAGAGGAGACGCCTGCTTTAGAAACCACCAAGAAGTGGTGTTGATGGCTATCTTCCCTCTGAGTCAGCATTGTTCCATGCCCCAATGGAGTATTGTGCTGTCTGAAGTGCTGGCTTTTGGATGGGACATAAAACAGGCCCTGAGCACTGATCATCCTAAAATATGCCCAGGTGCTGTTTCAAAGAGTTGAGGTGTTGACTCTGGAATTCTGACCCAGTTCCAGGGTGAGTAATTCCATTCTGCATCCCTACACTGCCTGCTAGCCCTGGAAGTACCTACTTTTCTGGGCACAGTCAAGTCCCCTCCTAACAATGTATAAAACTGTAGTCCAGCTATGCAGCAAGGGGTGTGCTTCTCTTACCAAGTAGGAGCTGGGTGGCTGATGGAGGGATCCCTGTATAACTGCAAAGCACTTTGGGAACATCCGAGGTGAAAGGCACTAGTGCAAGGCAAGGCCCTGGAGCAGTACTGTTATAACCAGAGAATCATGGAACCGTAGGGGCAGAAGGGACCACAAGGGTCATCTAGTCAAGATGCAGGATTTGTGTCTAAACCATCCAAGACAGATGGCTACCCAGCCTCCTTTTGAAGCCCTCCAGCGAAAGAGCTTCCATGACCTCCCTAGGCAGACTGTTCCACTGTCCTACTGTGCTTACAGTTAGGAAGTTTTTCCTCAGATTTAAGTCTACATCTGCTATGCTGTAGTTTGAACCTATTGCCCCTTGTCCTGCCCTCTGTGGTAAAAGAGAACAACTTTTCTCCACCTTTTTTATGGCAGCCTTTCAAGTATTTGAAGACTGCTATCATATCCCCCCTTAATCTCCTCTTTTCCAAACTGAACATACCCAGTTCCTTCAGCCTTTTCTCATATGGCTTGTGTTCCATCCCTCTGATCATCTTTATCACTCCCCTTTGATCCTTTCCAGTTTTTCTGCATCCTTTCTATACATTGGTGACCAAAATTGGACACAATATACTCCAGCTGAGGCCTAACCAGTACTATCACCTCCCGTGACTTGCATGCTATGCCTCAGTTAATGCAACTGAAAATTTTATTAGCTTTTTTTGCAACAGCATCACATTGCTGATTCATGCTGAGGTTGTGATCCACCACAATTCCCAGATCCTTCTTAGCAGTGCTCCCGCTAAGCCAGTTTTCACTCATCCTGTATTTGTGCATTTGGTTTTTCTTCCCTAAGTGTAGCACCTTACATGTGTCTTTAGTGAATTTCATTTTGTTCTCTATAGCCCAGTTCTCCAATTTATCAAGATCCCTTTGAATTTTAGCTCTGTCATCCAAAGTATGGGCAACCCCCCCAGCTTTGTGTCATCTGCAAATTTGATCAGTATGCTCTCTATTCCTACAGCCAGGTCATTAATAAAGATGTTAAATAACACCAGACCCACATCAGACCTCTCATGGAACCCCACTTGAGACCTCCTTCTACTCTGACATCATTCCATTAATAGTTACTCTTGGTTTGTGGTTGTTTAATCAATTATGTATCCATTTAATGGTAATTCTGCCAAGCCCGCATTTCTCCAACTTACTTATCAGAATGTCATGTGGGACTGTGTTAAAAGCCTTGCTGAAGTCCAAGTATATTATGTCCACCGCATTTCCCCATCCACCAAACCAGTTACCCTGCCAAAGAAGGAAATCAAGCTGGTTTGGCATGATTTGTTCTTAGTAAATCCATGCTGCCTGGTAATGATCACCCCTCCATCCTCCAGGTATTCGCAAATGGGATGTTTTATACATTGCTCTAGTAGCTTCCCAGGTATTGAGGTCAGGCTGACTGGTCTATAGTTCGTTCCCTGGCTCCTCCTTTTCCCCCTTTTTAAAGATGGGCACTTTCTGGGACCTCTCCTGTCATCCATGAGTTTGCAAATAATATTGCCAGAAGCTCCGAGATTTCTTCAGCTAACTCCTTCAGCACCCTGGAGTGAATAACATCAGGCCGTTGCATCCTAGTGGAGAGGCCCAGGGGATAAATGTGCCTGGGGAATGAACTGCCCTCTCTGCCACAGAGATGGTCAGGGGTGAGGTCTACTGGAGAGGTGGTGTGAGGGGAGCCTATGGCTGCCCAAACAGCACCAGTTATGTGCCTAAACAGAAGGCTTCATTCCAAGGGCTGCTACTCCAGAACTGAAGGTGAAAAATCCACCTCCCCATGCTGCGGACAGGCTGCATGTCCTTTAGGTTGGAACAGCAGCTGCTCCCATGCACCAGTGCCAGGTGGGTATGAGGCCACTGGATGTGTACTTTCATTGCTTGTTCCTCTGCCAGCCATCGATAGCAACCTCTGCTTCAGTCTGCTCCAAGCCTGTGCAAAAACCCTTCCAACTGGCAGGCAGAACCCACTGCATGGTTGCCTGCTTGTATTCTGCCATGGGGCATGGAGCAGCCCCTCTGCTTTGGGTGATGTTAAATGTTGAGGACATCCCAGGGTCATGCATGTGGCGAGGTGCTGTTCCTGGTGCTGAACTAATCCAGGGACGCTCAGGGAAGAGGAAGGAATTGCCAACACTAGACTCTAATTCCGATGTATTTATTTTAATCACACACAACTTGTCTGTGCTGGAGTTTTTCACTGGGTTTTAACTCCCTCGCCCTTTGTGATGGGATGTGAATGTTTGCATTCTGTCAACACTAGACTTTACCGTTGTGTTAGCTGACACATGTTAAAACACAATTGCAAACCCCATGTGACATTTCTTTAACAGCCCTGACTATGGTTTACATTGTGGCATAAAGAAGCCTCACATGGGGGATGGAGGAGGTATAAAGGGCCATCATGGTGGGTTCTTCAACCAGTGAAGAACAGCTTCATTCCCAGTCTCAGGTGTAGAGCTGGTGCAGGAGGCATGGAGGAGAAAGGCTAGGATTTCGCTATTCTTGCCTGGCCAAAGAGCTCATAAACCAAAACGTTTGCAGCCATATATATAATCATATAATAATTGTCATCAAAGCTCATGCTTCAAGGTATAAACTGATCACTTGGGAGGGTCAGGAAGGAATTCTCCCTCATCCCACGTAAAGGACTTCATGGTTGTCTAGGTGCATTATAGCAGTTTCTCACTTCTCCCTGAACTACTAAGTACTGGCCATTGCCAGAGACAAGGAGGCAGATTAGATGGATCAAGGCAAATCCTATATTCTTAAAAAAATCTAAACCACACTTGTACCAGCTTTTCAGGGGCTTCAGTGTCAGGCCTCTCTGACAAACCTGGAATATGGACTTTGTTGCTTCTCAATATTGTTTAACCCACAGGGGTTAGATCCATTAAAGCCAGTGCCTCAGTCTGGGCCTGTGTGCCCTTGGGGTGTTCTCCCTGAGGGAAGGGTAGATGGTGGCACTGCCAACCTCTCTCAGGGATTTCTGATGGGCGTGGGGAGCTGGTTGGTTACAGACAGGACTCTATAGGAGCCCGGTTAGTGAAGGCTGCTGCAGAGATGCACAGAATCAGAACATCTCCCAGCCCCCGTGGATACACCCCTTCCTTCCTGACCACCCCTTTTGGAGCAGGGCTGGCCCCCTTCTCCCCTCTTGGTGGAGAGGAGGTTGCAGCTTCTTGCAACACCACAACCCCTCCACATCCTGGCAGACTTTCTGCTGCCTCCTCTAGTGATGACAGATCCTGGGGTGAATCTGGCCTCTTGTCTTCGAACACCAGCCTTGGTCAGCAATGTGGAGTAGTTCTAAGCCTCCCCTAAGTCCTTGTACTTGCTTATGTGTATCTCTGCTCTTTCCCTTCCAGCTGTGATCCTGACTGTGGCCGACAAAATCACCAAGGACGTGCTAGTGAGCTACAAGATTCCTGTGAGGTACCTCCGATCGTTTCACCACTACCACTTGAGACTGGTGCTGGTGAGCATTGGCCAACTAATTTGCACCCTGAGAGATGTGGGTATGGGGGAGTCAAATTGTTTCACTGCCACTTCATCCATCCATTCGTCCATTGGGCAGGCAGTCTGGATTTTCTGTCAGTCTCCACCTGGTGTCCTTTGTCTTATACTTAGATTGGCAGCTTTTTGGGGCAAGGACTGTCTTTTGTTCTGTGTTTGTGCAGCACCTAGCACAATGGGGTCCTGGTCCATGATGGGCTCCTGGGACTTACCGCAATATAAATAATAAAAATTAGTAATCATAAACGTACGCTGCACACATCCCATGGTATCTAATTCCAGGCTTCTAAACAAACAGACTTGCACAAGACTTGCTTAGTTTGAGTTGGCTGAGGTCAGGTAAAGGAAATCTTGTGTAACCATTGTAATCCCCACTGGGAAACAGTTTAGGATTTTCAAAGTCTCACAAGTTGGAGAATGCACTAAAGGAGACAAGCAAATAGAGTGCCCCTGGGGCCTCTTTAGAAGAGAGAAATAATGTGTTTTTTTTCTCCTGGAAATGAGTGTGTTAGGAAATAATGAAAAATGATGTCAAACTCTGAAGTGCCCTTTCTAATTTGGCCTCCTGGGAGACCAGAACACAGGTGAGACTTAGATTTGCAAACACTGCAAGCAAATCCCAGCACTCTGCCCCTTCCTAGTGCTGTCTTTCCAAGGACCCCAAACGGCATTGTGAATATTAATTAAATAATCCCTAGCTCTCATCAATAGATCTCAAAGAGCTTTATGGAGGTGGTCAGCATCCTTATCCTGATTTTACAGATAGGGAAACTGAGGCACGGAGAAGGGAACTAGTTGCCCAAGGTCACCCAGCAGACCAATGGCAGAGTCAAGACTAGAACCCAGGTCTCCTGTGTGGTAGACACAGGTTCTCAAACAGGTTTACAGAGAACTCGCTGGGGATCTGTCGAGAGCTGGTTCTGTGTGGTTGGCTCCTTTGCATGTTTCCAGCTTATATGTTGCAGTAAACAAAGCTAAAATATTGTGTGTCTCTAATATTACTTCTCCGTGTAAGCCCTTGCTGAACCTGTCACAGGGACGTTAGACAATTATGAGTGGAAGGGGAGGCAAGGACTGCATGCAGGTGAATGGGACAGGTAGTGAGGGATGCACAATTGGGAAGGGAGATGGGGATGGGGGGGAAGAAGGGGCTGAGTGAGGGTATCAGGGAGGAGAAGTGGAGGACTGGGTGGGGGCATAAAGGAGGGGAGGCAGGGCCCAAGTGGGGCATGTGGAAAAGGCGGTGGGGGCCAGGTGAGGGCATATGGGAGGGAGAAAGGGGCAGCGTGAAGGACCCATACTTAGAGTGGCCAGACAAAGTGCATGACTGGAGCATTTTTAAAAGCTCTGAATTTTTCCAGAGTGGCAGAGTGGGACTTTGTCCCCATTGAACAGCAATAGGAGACATTTATTGCTGTGTTAGTGAATTTCTCTGTCTGTGTGAAAAACCGTGACCGTTATTCTGTATGCCATTCTCATAATTTGCATAATGAGTGACTTTGCTGTCATGAAATAGGGTGGGCGTATCAATGGAGTAATAACTATTAGCAGGTGCTGCCAGGAGGTGCCTTTATGTGCTCTGTGATGGTGAGATTACATAGGGAATGGTTTGCTGCATTGGTTTTTCTCATGATTTATTAATGACCTGTATTAGTTATGGTGGAGTTTAGGGAGGAGTAAATTGTTGTGGTATAGCTGTTAAAGAACAGCGTGATTGATCTGCACATTATGCTGAGACCTTTTCTTTCAATGTACTTTGTCACACACACACACATGCACAAACACACACACATGCCATCTGCAGTATCAAAGTAGGGTTATTCATTTGGGGGGAGGGATAGCTCAGTGGTTTGAGCATTGGCCTACTAAACCCAGGGTTGTGAGTTCAATCCTTGAGGGGGCCACTTGGGGATCTGGGGCAAAATCAGTACTTGGTCCTGCTAGTGAAGGCAGGGGACTGGACTCAATGACCTTTCAAGGTCCCTTCCAGTTCTAGGAGATGGGATATCTCCAATTTATAATTTATTTACACAATCAAGGGCAGTCGGGCTAGTATCTTCCAGGGACAAAAGAGGACCTCGTTTTCCTCCTCCTCGAATTGGAACACTTGGTCTGAGTCCCTTAGCATAGCCAATAAGACCTTTCTATCTTTTCCTGGATCTCAAGTTTATCAGAATCTTTAGAACATTTCAACCTGCCCCAGGCCTGCTCTGGGATTTCCACAGTGCTTAGCATCCACTAGAATGAAAATCAGACTCGGGTTAATAGCTACATCAGTAGCGCATCCATCCTTTGAAATTTCAAGGGCTAAAATAAAGGTAACAACTTCTGTACCTTGGCAAATTTCTGTGCTTTCCTGCTGGGCATTTGTTTTTGGACCAGAGATGTTGAGGATGTACAGTTAGAATTCCCAGGGAAGGTACACGAATAAGGATAAGGAGGGTTGATATATTATTGTGAAGATGGGACAATTAAGGGACTGAGCATGTGAGGGTAGCAGTAACTGAGCTAACAAAAATTACTTATTGCAGCAGTGACAGGACTGTTCGCATCACTGGGGCTGTTATGCCAGCGATCTCTGTTCACCCTGGTGAGGGACTGGCACAGAGAAAGGCCACATAGTGGTTAGCCTTACTCAGAGCGGGACTAATATGCATGATGGTGACATTGCCTGTGCACTTCTGGGATCATTTGTGAATGCCTGGTGTACTACAAGGTTGTTGTGAGGGCCACACAGCATGCCAGGTAGCATGCCAGGTAGCTCTGCTGTATATGTGCCCAGAGAGATTACAGTAAATAACCTTGCCCAAGGTCACATAGCTAGTGAGTATCAGAACTGGGGCTGGCACTCAGATGGACTGCGCTTGTCCTACACCCTAACCACAAGACACCCAGCTCCAGAAAGACTAACCTGGCACAAGAGCTGTTCAGCTATTTTTTGTGAGTTAAAGTTGCATCCTCTGAAATATCAGATATTTACACGGCCGTCAAGGGATCATCCTGTTTTCCTCTCAAATAAGCCTTGTTCCTGTTTTCAGACCCATTGCAGACTCACAGAAAAATACAACACAGAATAATGTGGGTGCCATGCTTTATTGTTTGAATGACTGGCAGGAAGGTCCCAATTAAGTAAGTTTCACAGGTAACTGTAGGTGGAACTGAGGCCTCACAAACTCACTTTACCCCAGCCAAAAAATCACACCCCTCTCAGCTAATACAAGTATGTTTCTTTTTCTCCATTCTTCTCCATCCCCTCCCCCGCCTCCCGCCACCCCAAGAAGGATCAGGAAGTTAGTGGCCATTGTGTATGCAGATTATTAAATATTTAAATGCAAAAGCAGAATGATTTATTATATTGATCTTATTGGAAAGGCTCCAGGGGACAGTGAGCTTTAATTATCACTTGCTGCTTTATTGTCAGTTATGGCAGCTCTGTGCCACCACACTGCAGCCCAGACTATTTATATACACAACGCTTCTTGTTTTATAGTCTGGCACTCATTCCATCCTGTGGTTTTGTCTCCTCCTCAAACAGCCGAGGAAGAAGGACCCCTTGGGGACAAGTCTGTACGCTACGCTTGTTCGTAAAGGCAGCCTCATCCCGCGTTATGTTGGAATGAATTACACCGGCTTGGAGGTAAGGCCTGTGCCAGGAAGATAGGAGAGGGATGGATGGTGCTGAGGAGGGGATGCCGGCATGGCCCACAATAGGAACAAGGTGTCTGTGTGTTAGTAGCAATGAGCAACCCTCATAAGGTATGGTTTAGCTGAATGCCTAAAATCTAAGTTCTCTCCAAACTATCTGATCTTTCAATGAGACCTGTTAATAACCACTGACTTTCTAGCTAATATAACACAGTGGATAAACATAGGGGAGCCCTCCCGAGGGACTGAGATTTCACAAGGAGAGTTGGCTGCAGTTAGCGGGTAGCCTTCAGCATATATATCACCATTCTTCCTTTCTCCAACTGAACTAGAAATACCTGGAGAACAGGCCTTTCTAAGGACCAGCACAAACCTCACCACCTTCCTCTTCAAGGACCAGGTGCACATCTTCATTCTTGCCTGCTCTGGTATAAACAAAGAGTGGCATGTCCAAATATAAAAACCCTACCAAAACAAAACACTCCTCTGCACACAAAGTTCTCCCCCTGGGGAAAGGATGCGGGAGAGTAAATGATACATGACAGATGTGAGTCACGTCACTTAATACAAGGTGCTCAGATGCTACAGTGATGTGGGTGGCATAAGAACCTATATAGAATAAAATAGAATTCTGTATTGGTGTCTCTGGTCCTGTCCAGAGCTTGAAAGATAAGAGACACATAACGTAAGTAAAAGGCATTTTTAAGGAGTTAACTGAAGTTTTCCTAATGTTGAGTTTAGTTCAGTTTGAGTTTTTGGTCAAAGATTTAGGTTTGATGCTTATTTTATTGGAGCCCTTTAAGCCTTACCAAAGGAAGCGTGGATATTCCCCAATGACCCATTTGGAAATCACATCCTTTGACAGTGTTGGGGGTGGAGAAATTGAGCGCAGATCTCCTAAGCACTAGGCTAGTGCCCTAACCACTGGAACACACTTCCACCCTCATAAAAACATAAGAACGGCCATACAGGTCAGACCAATGGTCCATCTAGCCCAGTATCCTGTCTTCCAACAGTGGCCAATGCCAGGATGCCTAGAGGGAATGAACAGAACAGGCAGTCATCAAGTGATCCATCCCTTGTCGTCCACTCCCAGCTTCTGGCAGTCAGAGTTTAGGGACACCCAGAGCTCTTCAGAACTCTTGGATGAATGCCATCTCATCCTGGTTACTTATTACTGTTTAATTTATCAGTTTGTTCCAAAACTCCTCTAATGACACCTCACTCTGGGATAGTTCCTCAGATTTGTCACCTAAACAGAACAAGAAGCAATGGTCTCAAGTTGCAGTGGGGGAGGTGCAGGTTGGATATTAAGAAAAACTATTTCACTAGGAGGGTGGTGAAGCACTGGAATACCTAGGGAGATGGTGGAATCTCCATCCTTAGAGGTTTTTAAGGCCCAGCTTGACAAAGCCCTGGCTGGGATGATTTAGTTGGGGTTGGTCCTGCTTTGAGCAGGAGGTTGGATTAGATGACCTCCTGAGGTCTCTTCCAACCCTAATCTTTCTATGATTCAATAAAAAAATGGCTCAGGTGTGGGAATCTCCCTCAGATCCTCTTCAGTGAAGACTGATGCAAAGAATTCATTTAGCTTCTCTGCAACAGCCTTGTCTTTCTTGAGTGCTCCTTTAGCACCTTGATCGTCCAGTGGCCCCACTCATTGTTTAGTAGGCTTTCTGCTTCTGATGTATTTTTTAAAAAATTGCTGTTAGTTTTTCAGAGTAACAGCCGTGTTAGTCTGTATCCGCAAAAAAGAAGAACAGGAGTACTTGTGGCACCTTAGAGACTAACAAATTTATTAAGCTTTCGTGGACTGAAAGCTTAATAAATTTGTTAGTCTCTAAG